TACTACAGCTCGTTTGCTCGCAAGTTCCAGCTAGCACTGTATGAGAACTTCAACAACAGGACGGAAATTAATCACTCCAGAAGTACCCTTATCGCACTGGAAAAGCAAACAGCTCGAACATGCTCCTGCCTTGCAATCTCGAGAACAAATAAAGTGGCCTGGCGTAAAGTCAAGGAAGAAAGGACTTCGCAGATAGAATGAAGTAAATGGGAAATACGAGCAACCTTGGAAATCCGTAGACCCAGAAGGGGTGTTCTTCCAGGGGTAAAAAGAGACAGGCCAGCTACACCGAAGAGCCGCCTCGGTTCAATAGACGGGAAACGACTGACGACCGACTTCAGAGATGAAAGGCCCCCAGACCCAACTCTAGTCCGTCCGTGGGCCCGCTGTTCTGCGACTAGCATTGGCGACGACCTGGGCAATGCACGAGGGACCTGGTGACTTTAGCGATGGTGGGACACATGACTGTTGAGGAGGAGTAGATCCTGGAGATGGTGGGATCCCCACACTATCTTGGGACGTCGGATGGATTTATCGGACATTGGCAGCATCCTTGGTACGGAGGTTAGGTCTTGGGATCGGGTTGACTAGGTCGCTCCGATGGCAAGTCGGAGGTCGAATCAGTCGGGGCAGTAGGACGCCTTTATGCGGCTGAAATACAGTGGATCTGTCAACCATGACCTTCGCATCGAACCGAGACGCAGGAGCTAGGGATCGTAGCAAAACGTTCTTGAATTTGATCTCCGCCGTTTTCCCCAGTCCCAGAGTCCTGGCAATGGGGTCGACGATGGTAACCAAGTGGGATCAAAACAGCAACTCGGTGGAGGCCCGTCACGATGATGATGCATATTCAACAGTAATTGGCGGATTTTGGAGCGACCCTGCGTTGGAGGGAGTGATGGAAAAGTGGAGTGTGATTATCAGTGTGATTATCAATACGGCATTTGCATAAAGCGGAGACCCCGACATTAGACGGCGGTTCCGGTGACAGACTGGAGTGTGTGCCGCTTGGCAGGGACTTGAGCGAGAGTGCGGTGTAGTAGGCCCCGAAAGCGACATAAAATTGGGGTTGGCTGTTATATGTGGAGTTACCACGTCGTTGGGGCGTTTGGTGTGTTTTAGCACACGATGTGAGAGCCGTCTTTTCCGGCATGTGGAATGCTTGCGGGAGCATAATTTGGGGCGGATTGATGGGGTATTGGAGAGATCGGCGCACTTTAGCTGGGTCCTGGGGTAGACTTATCAATATGGAGCACTTTCGTAGGCTGCGAGGACTGCTTTCTGTGGTGTTGGTGCCGCTGTCTACTCCTGCCTGCGTGACGAGAAAGGAGCTGGGTCAGTGAAATGCGCCCGGATGTCCCGAAACAGGAAGGCCCGAGATCTGCAAGACAATGCCCGGGCACATGTCAGCCTCATCCCCACGCTAGCTTGCGAACTCCACACGAGCCTCTCCCGACTACCAAGCATGCATTGGCAATTTGTCCCGCCATGGCAGAAAGCGCGACCGCGCCTACCGAGCAGCATCCACGGCGCGACCAAGCTGATCGACCGCACGGCGAGAATATGTAGGAGGAGTGTCAGCAAACCAAGTGCGCTCCCGAAAGCCTGGGCAAATCCTCGGCTGTATAGCAACTTAATCTGAATGTCTCGAGAGATGCCGCTATCACGTGCGTCGAATCGTCTCCCGGCCGGCAGTGCCGCCCGACGTTGCTGCACTCCATCCCAGGAAGTACAGCCGACCATCGACCATCACAGCAACCATCGTCACCGTTGCAGCACATGGCGTGTTCAAGCTCCACCAACTGCAGTCTCTATTAGTTAAGATCATCGGCCAAGCTGCAAAGGCTGCAGAGCCGCATGCGCACGGTTGGTCAGACCCTGCATGGGGACGGACGCGAGTCGCCGGTGCATGACGTCAAGCGCCCTCTTGTTGAGACTGAAACCGTGCCTTATGGGAGGAATTAGCACGCTATCCGTACACGGCGGCATGTAGCCCGAGATGGTGCCTTTGACCTACACCGGTGTCCTAGTCGACGACGAAGTTCCTGCATCATCTTGACATGCGTACCGTAGATTTTGACAGGCGGTTGCGGGTGGCGTAGGCGGCGAAGAAACTTCTTCCAGCCTTCTGTGCTGACTGGCGAACCCGTCGTTCACCAATCGTTTCACCTGCGTCTTCCCCAGGCTGACCCCAAGCCCTGCGCACATGACGTAATGTGGAGGTAACCTCGGGCTAGGAGCAGAGACATGCTGTGCCGAGCGCGCTTGTTGGACTGCAAGCGTCCTCCGCTCTTCTCCAAGATTGGCCCAAGATGGCTTGCTCCACCAACAGACCCTGTTAGGTTCGCCTTTGTATCCACAGTTTATTTGCGCCTCTACCGCCCGCACCTCAGGCTCGCATACTGCTACACCAGCCAAGGCCAAGATGTTGGAAAAAAATCGTTATCTAGTTTTCTCCACGCGTCAGTCGGAATCTTGGTAGCGTATCTTTTAGTGGGCCGAGGGTAGACGACCAGTAACCACGTTTCTGCCGAACACCCTTGTACGCAATGGACGATGATCATTTAAAGCTCTACTCTCTCCCCACGGATCTTTCCTCCCCAGCATCTCCTCACTCCTCTCCAGTTTCCATCGATACAACGCAAACATGCCGCCACGTATCAAGGAGTCCGAAAATGGTGTTCCCACCTACTGGGGCAAGTCCGGCAGGGCCCTCCAGGTTCTCATCACCATCGTTGCTGTTACCGACTTCCTACTCTTCGGTTATGACCAGGGTGTCATGAGTGGAATCATCTCTGCTCCCGCCTTCCAAGACGCGTTCCCTGAAGTCAAGGATGACTCTACCTACGAGGGTTTCGTCGTCTCCATCTATGCCGTCGGTTGTCTGCTTGGTGCCATCTTCGTCTTCGTCTTCGGTGACAAGCTCGGACGTCGCAAGAGTATCTTCCTGGGTGCCGGAGTTATGATCATCGGTGTCATCATCCAGATCGCCTGCGTTCCTCCCAACAGTGGCGCTACCGCCCAGTTCATTGTCGGACGATGCATCACTGGTGTTGGAAACGGTATCAACACTTCTACCATTCCTACCTACCAAGCTGAGTACGTCATTCCAACATTTGCTCCTCTAAACGATTACTAACAATTTCTAGGTGCTGCAAGGCCAAGAACCGCGGTAAAGTTATTTGCATCGAGGGTTCAATGGTTGCCATTGGTACGCTCATCGCCTACTGGATCGACTACGGCTGTCTCTACGGTCCCGATGACTTCACCTGGAGATTCCCCATTGCTTTCCAGTGTGTTTTCGCCATGATCGTCATCGTTATGATGATTTCGCTACCCGAATCTCCTCGATGGCTTCTCAACCACCATCACGAAGACGAAGCCGCTACTGTACTGGCTGGTCTCAACGGTGTTGCCCGCGACGACCAAGAGGTCATTGTCCAGATGCAAGTCATTCGTGATGCAGTCAGCGCATCTGGTGGTGGCGGCAAGGTCCCTACTAAGGCTCTTCTTACCGGCGGCAAGTCCCAGCACTTCCGTCGTGCTATCCTCGGTGCTTCCTCGCAATTCATGCAACAACTGTCTGGTTGCAACGCTGTCATCTACTACTTCCCCATTCTGTGCCAGAGCGCTTTGAACACCGACCACAACCTCGCCCTTCTTCTCGGAGGTGTCAACATGGTCGTTTACGCCATGTTCGCCGCTACCTCTTTCTACTTCGTTGAGCGTGTCGGCCGCAGAAAGTTGTACCTCATCGGTACCGTCGGTCAGATGACTGCCATGATCATCACCTTTGCCTGCCTGCTCCCCGGTGGCGTGCAAAACGAGGACAACGAGGGACCTGCCAAGGGTGCTGCCGTTGGTCTGTTCTTGTACATCGCCTTCTTCGGTGTCACGTGGCTCCCACTTCCCTGGTTGTACCCAGCCGAGATCAACCCCCTCAAGACCCGCCAGAAGGCCAATGCTTTCTCGTAAGTTATTACTGCACCCATATGATATAAGAACAACGCTAACATCTTCGCAGTACCATTAACAACTGCAAGTTTTTTCCTGTCTCACAAGTCATTCGAGACAATTGCTAACATCCTGATAGGGCTGTGGAACTTCTTCATCGTCATGATTACCCCCGTTTTGATCACCAACATCGGTTGGGGAACTTACCTCCTCTTCGCTGCTCTGAACGCCTCCTTCATTCCCGTCATCTACTTCTTCTACCCTGAGACTGCTGGTCGTTCCCTCGAGGAAATCGATCTCATCTTCGCCAAGGGTTACACCGAGAAGATGAGCTACGTGCAAGCCGCCAAGCAGCTCCCCAAGATGGACGAGGCTCAGATCGCCGAGGCCGTTCGCCAGTACGACCTCTCCGACAGCGACGTCGAGAACCGCTCGGCTGCTGGATCGCTCAAGGAGAAGCGTCAGCAAGATGAGGAGCTGATGCCTCAGGCTGGAGGTCAGATGTAAGATCTGATATGTTGCAAGACGAAGATACGAGCGCTGGTCGTACATGATTGCGAATGAGCGCGCTGTGTGCGCTACGGTATCGTTAAGTCGTTACTTGTTATGCATTGCATTATGCCTGGAGGAACTATACCCGACGCACAAACGTCACCCATCTAGGCTTGAGATGCATGGAGGAATTTGCTACGTCGCATGTCTTAAGGAATGCGCGAGTTTCGTTTTGTTTCTAATTGCATAGCATCGCTTTATACCATTGATCGACAGATGTCGTCAACCATAGAAATCTATGACTTTTCTCACTACATTATGTCTCCTCCACCTTTGAACGCGCACGCTCTGATGAACCGTTAGTACAATATCTCCTACCTAGATGCAGGCGAGCTTGAGGAGGAAAGCTTACAAGTACCAGTCAGCTGCCATGCTGGCGTGTTCGGACTGAGCGCAGGTGAGGCCAACGACCACGATTGGGCATTTGCAAGACCAGCATCGATGCGCAGGGCCAGATTTCGAGACTGCAATATAGCAAGCAGGGGAGTAGGGATCTAACCAAGGTCGGGGCATACGTATTCATCCTTGGCCCCGAGGAGCCTGAGGTTCAGCACCATCTGCAGTTCCACTTTCGCCTCATCATCGGGCAGTTCAAGGGTCTCCATGGCGGCAGTCGCATCATTCACTTGCTCCTCGTGCGCCGCGCCATCGTCATCCACGTCGTCGTCATGCTCAGTCCGCTCCAAATCGCCGCGCACATCGTCTATATGTTCGCGCACATCGTCCATGTACGTATCGAGCACAGCGTCCTCACCCTCTGGATTCCATCGCCGAACCACACGCCACAGGATCTCCGCCTCCGCGTGACAGTTGTTCGCGTCGTCCCAGTCGCCCAGTGTTGAAGCCAATAATAGGAGCGCTTTCACGGTGGTATCGTGGTATAGAATCATCAGCTAGAAGGGCGCGGGTCTTTTCGATACACTCGTCCAGGCGGTCGTTGTTGTAGAGTTCGCCTGCTTCGTTCAACGCCTTAGTGAAGGACTTGTCGATATCGCTGGCAGTGGTCATTCTGTTAATAGTCCACGGGCTTTATGGTATCTGTCGCTGGCTGTGAAGAGATGTGCACAATGGTTGTGTGCGTGTTGTGGATGAGTGGGTGAGTGTGAGATCGCTGGACTCAACCTTAAGAAATCACATAGGTATCACAACCATCATGCATATCAAAGTGTAACTTCCCTGACAGTCCGAGCTAATTACAGACCTCTGTCTCAAGTCGAAGGCGCAATCTTCTTTTCGCTAGTGTTGAAGGTGTCCCGTCATAACACGGGAGCAACCTTACCCATAGTGCTTGAATGTTGTCAGGCTTTTTGTATCAGTCAATACAATTCACCCAACGAGTCAACATTTCCGCAAAATCAGAGGTATCCTACCAAAACAATTGTTGTGTATGTGTGGCACACCTCATGAGACTAAGTAGTTCTGTCGGGACTTCAAGGTGCTGCGACGAACGCACGTGCCTCGGTAGTGCTCGGAACGTTCCGAACGCGCGCCTCGATGACACTTGGCTTCCATTCCACTCTTCGACACTGCGACCTTGCGTCCTCATGCTCCCACACCAGTGACCGAGCACTATGGCGATATCGAACGTGTCATTTGACACTCTGGGTCCTTTCCTAGTGTGGCAGTTTCTCATTCCCGTCGTAAGCTAGCCCTCACACCTGCGGCACGGCAAGGACTAACGCGACACAGGCAGCGGGATGGGCCCAGTCCATTCTCTACAGCATCTTCATTCGCGCTGGCGACCCGAAACCGCAGCCCGGCACTCCGCGCTTCATAAAGCACCGCCGCAACATCTTGATCGCCATCTACGCCGCTTACTTCGCCTTCACCATTTACGAAGTCGACTTCAACTTGCAGCGCTCTAGCAATGCATACAACGACCTTGGTGTACCACTAGACGTCGACGAGAGCGCACTGAACACGCGATTCAGGAGGCTGACGATTCGATACCACCCAGATAAGATTGGGCCGAACGTGGATAGAGAGAGGGCAAATGACTTCTATGTCCATCTGAAGCGAGCCAAAGACATCATAATGGATCCTGTGAAGCGATTCGCATATGACCGCTTCGGGCCAAGCATCTTTGCGCAGTGCCAGAGTTGCTTGACTATCAAGGACTACACAGACAGTGCGCTGCTCACTACCGCTACCACCTACGGCGTACTCTTCATCATTCTGGTTGGCGCAAACGCCCTCGGCTTCCTGACAGACGGGTCCTACTGGCGCTACCTAGGACTTCTCGCTGTTGCGACTTTCGAAATCCGCACCGCTCTTCGTCCAGATTACCCCACCTTCCTCTCGAAATACCTGAACCCGTTTGTCGCGAGAACCAACCTCCGTCCTCCTTACCTACCCTTTCAAATCATCACCATATTGAAGAAAGCTGCGATATCTCTTACGCAGTTTCTCGGTCTGCTCATGCCACTTTACCGAAGTGACCCTCAACATGCCGCAAAAGCCAACGACGATACCGAAGATACTCGCCACAAGCAGCTTGATCGTCTCGGCGCGCTTGTTGCGGAGAGTAATAAGGATGCGAACAGACTGTTGGAGCTGGAAAGCGTGCCATACAGGGACAACGAGAGGGCAAAGGGTGAGCTGAGGGAAGCACTCAAGAAGTACATGGTTCAAAATGTGGTGCATCAGGAGAAGGAGGTGAGGAATGCTATGGGTGAGGTCATGATGCGGAGAAGGACGGGTGTGCCGCACGGTGCCGTAGGTACGAAATAGTACTAATCCGAGCTGACCGATAGCCGTTACCAATCCACGGCTTTTCATTTCTGTTCTATGGATACAGCAAGAACCGCGCTTCTCGACTCTGTCTACCATGCTGCGCTGCCTGGTGTTTCTACTCATAATGTCAAGCTGATAGCATGGTTGAATAATGGCAGATTAGAAAAACCGGACAGAAGGTCCCTGTGCACCAGCGAACTCGTTCTCTATCAGGATGTATCGCAGGTCCATGAGCGGGTGATTACTACTATGGTTTTAGCCCTTTCATGCTAAACCCGACTTTTGCCCCCGCTACGGAGCGAGCCCGGCGATCCGCCAATTCCCCGCAGCCTCCCCACATCTTCTAGGACCATTCCAGCAACCTTTCCGACAACTCAATGGAACATCTCGCGGCCGTCGGAATAATCGCGTCCGCTTTAGCCTAGAAAGAGAGGCACGATGATGTCGATACGCTTTCTGTCATAGCTTCTGATGACATATGAAGCTCAAGTAGCCGTGAGAACATGGTACGGCTACCTCCATAAACCACCAACGACCTCAATACTTCCATAATGGCCTCACTCAGAGTCGCCGCCATCTCCCTCGCAGCATCCGTTGTCTATGCATACCCGACGACGGATCACTCCGGAGCTGGATGCCTAAGCGTACCAAAGACCGCAGAAGGTGCTTCGATACCACACAGCAACTCCTTTGCCTCATTCTCGTTCGAACCTGCCTTCTGGGTTGAATTCTTCGGCAATGCTAGTACTCCGAACAACCTTACCTTCAGTGTCTTGAACAGAATCCATGAGCATGGTGGAAGTCCTGTCATACGACCTGGCGGCATCACCATGGACAGCATGATATTCGACTCTGACGGTGGCGACGTGGTGCGTACCACTAGTCCAGAAGGCGGCGTATGGCGGACCACTGTTGGACCCGACTACTACAAGAGTTGGAGTAATTTCCCTAATGGCACCAGGTTCATCTCAACTCTCAACTTCGGTAATGAGAGTTTGGAAATATCTACAGGCCTTGCAGTCGCATCGCTTACCTACCAATCCGACAAGGTTGCATACCTTGAGCTTGGTAACGAGCCGACCAACTATGACGAGAGCCGGTGGAATGACTCGACTGCAGCATATGTGCAACAATGGAAGCAGTACACGGCTAGCATCGATACCGCGCTGGATGCTTTGAACAGTTCAGATCTTCCCCAAGAGCGCTGGTGGGCATCTTCCGCTACGACTGATGACTCAGGACTCGAGGTGCGACCTGCTGCACTCATTCCAGCAGGCATCGACTCAGAGGATCAGGTTGGCATATATTCGATACACTCGTATGCCTTCTCAACGTGCGATCCAGAACGCGCCGCCTTGGCCACCATCGAGAACATCCTCAATCATACCGAGCTTACACGCTACTGCGATGAAGAAATCTACCCGTCTGCCCGCGCTGCTCTCGATGCTGGAAACAACTGGAACATTGGCGAGTTCAACTCCGTCTCTTGCTCTGGAGCACCAAACGTTACCGATACATTTGCGCAAGCACTCTGGGTCATTGATAGCGAGCTGATCTACGCGACAAGGAATGCCAGTTCCACGCATTTACACCAGGGTGCTACGCTTGCTCTTCAGTCGGACGAACAGCTCAACACGCCTGGTGCAAACGGTAGTCCAGGTTTCAGCACTTACTCAATGCTATACCCTCGCGACACGGAGTTGAGAGGCCCGGCACGGACTCTGCCCTCTTTTCTCGCGCAGCTGTTCATGGCTGAGGCCTTTGCTGTGCCCGACACTCGGGTTCGCGCTCTCGAGCCACCTACTGGCGTTGATCCAGAGTCGTTCGCTGCATATGCGTTCTACGTCGACGATCACCTGTCCAAGCTAGCACTCGTCAATATGAAGCCTTTCTACGCCAACTCGACCGATGACTTCTCGGTACATGTTGATCTATCGGGCGCTGTGGGTTCCGATGGCGGGTGCTTGGGTGTAAAGAGATTGACTGCACCATTCGTAAACACTGGGAACAGCTCGCTGACATCTTGGGCTGGACAGTCATTTCCTCAGGGTGAGCCGATGGGTAACGTGGTGGTTGAAGCGGTTGGGACGGATACTGTAGTGAACGTGAGGGGCAGTGAAGCAGTACTTGTATTTTTCGACAAGGACAGCATATATGGTCTATAGATGCTTGGAGTTATCTGGAGCTTCTAGTGTAAACGAATAATGGAGGCATTGCGATAGCAGTTGACAATTACGTACAGCGCGTGAAGCGTGCATTTGTCGCGCAATCACTTCCGCGAGATGGAAATGATCAGTCTAGGCTCTAGAATTGAGATGCTGGGATTGGCTGATCGTCACGGCGTTGCATCGTGGCTTAAGCCAAGCTGCGCTGGTGGAGAGGAGTAGCAATCCTTTGGCCCCTGTCGCTGGCTAGCGTATGTATCCTTTCGCTCACGTCAACGCAGCTTCCATCGAAGTCCTTTCACCAACACCAGCTTTCCATCTCATTTTATCCTCCCTTGAAGCTCACAATAGCGTCCAATCAATGACATGCACTGATGGTGTCGCTCGGGGATCATTTTCGGCCTTTGTGCGGGCCGGAAGCCATTGCCCAGCCACGGATCGCATGGCAGCAATAAGAGACGAAACACGGCAAGCCTAATTACGCCTGGCCACGCCACCAAAACTTCCTGCAGAGGCCAAAATTATACCGATCATATCAGAAGGAGCATACAAAAGACTGTTGCATCACCTATAGGCACAAGCGTCCTGATTCATCCATTGACTCCTACGCTAATGTAAAGTATATGCTTCATAAAATCAAAAATATGCGGATGACCTTTGAAATTCGACGTCACACGGTCGCTAGATTTATGCGCAGTCCCGTCCCTCTGAGAGTCTCTACCACACTTCCTATCTTCAGCATGAACTGCGCAGCTTCGTAGGAGAAGCGCTCGTAATCACCATCTCCCAGAGACCCTTGCGCTAAATCGACTTCGACTACGACCTCAGTACGAGCGGTCTTGATGACAGTGAGGCCCTCAATGGTTTTGCAATACCGCCGCTCTTCAAAGAGCCGCTTTTCCGGCAGCAGGAAGGCAAAGTCAAGCGGCCGAATCTGTATGTGCAAGCGCCTTGCGTAATCCGCTGGAACCATTCCCAGCCCGAAACCATCCGTTTCAAGAAACGGTTTGAGCAGAAAGAGCTCGTGATGGGCAAACTTGAATGTACGTGTCCAGTAGTAGCATTCGAGCAATTCTCTAGCAACCTCATCACCCAAACCTCCTGCACTCATGTATGCTGCGGTGGGGTCTTCGATCCATTGATAAGAATGCTGGCCGCACGCCTGTCGGATGAGGTGCGCGAAGCGTCGGCCGTTTCCGGTTGCTGTGCGCCGGACGATGACTTCGTTATCATAGGATCCCTGGACGCAGAACGCATACACCCGGTTGCGGAGCTCACGTGGTAGACGTGTATAGATGTCTGAAGCCAACTCTTCGACTCGAGGTGTGCGAGGTTTTTGGCTGTCGTTTCTGGCGAATTAGTCCTGACCGAGTCGTAGTCGCATTCGTCACTCACTGCTTCTTCAGTGGCTCCACAAGGACTTCGCTGTTCCATCCAAAATTCTGCTGTCGCATCATCTCAAATCCGTATGAGACGTCGTCGAATCTGTCCATAACCATCATGTTTTTCTTGGTGATCGACAGCGCTATCGGAAAGTATGTTTTGATGGCATGCTAGTTCCTAGGATATATACTCCAAAGCAGCGGTGTCTCGCTCAAAACTCGAACCCACTTCGCAAATGCACACAGGTAACCACGTGAGTGCTAACTGGCAACGATGCTTTTCGCGAGTGCTTTCGCGGTACATCCTACACTAGTCTGGCCGCCACGCGAAGTAATCCGGATTAGGAAAGCATTGCGCATGGCACGGATCCTGTGGGAAGCGAAAACAGCAGCAATCACTTCAAAGACGCAACGTCTGGCAGCATAAGCCCGAAAGCAACGCCGCAGTCGCCGATATGAAATGACCCGAGTTGAGGCCTAACTGACCGCCTTAAACACCGAGCTCGCCGGACGCATGTAGGTTCTGCGACAGCTTCGCAAGGGCTCCTGCTTTGTGCGAGACCTTCTAACATTAGTTGCACATTGTAAGCATCTGACATACAACCCAGCCCTCTCCATTGGATTACACGCACATCCCTTTGGCCCCTCTTCGCCGCTTTCGCCGAGCTGAAGTGTGCATTGGTGTGAAGGTGATTATGGTCACGTGCTTACGCCCCACTCTTTAGGTACCTACCTACCTAGGTACCTATCCATGGACACCGGAAGTCCTTGTGCGTTCCGCCCGTTGATGGACCCAACACATTTCCCGGGAAAGAGCTCAATATACCAGATGCGAACCATCCGACGACTTTAGTACACCCACTACGGTTCGGACCGCGGATTGGCAGAACCCCCGCATGCGGCACAGCAAGCTCAACAATAACGGGAAGCACGATGATGGCACACAATTACAGTTGATCGAGGACCCCAATTCTGTCGAGGTTAGCCGTCGGTGACGTTTGATGGCATCTGACATGCGTTTGCTGTGCCACATCCAAGTAAGACGGCGCTTACATACGCCCTGAATCGCAATCCGCTCACACCGTAAGCCGCACACGACTTGTCGCCAATCGATCGCGAAGATGAAGACGACCCCTCTGAATCCACTGAATCCATTTCTCATCGCCTCCGCCATCGATTGGTCAGGAGTAGATCTCCTCGCACTGCACGTCACGACTTTTCTCCACCAACATCCATCACAGCATCAGAAGTAACCGCGATGAAGATCTATCCCTACAAATGGGGACCGTGCCACGTTCTTACCGGGATTCATCCACACCTTTATCTCGACATCGAACCGGGTATCGTGTCCTCCACACCCACAACCCCTCGGGAACGTCCTCTTCGCTTATAGCACGAATCCTTCTGCAACTCAAATTATCCTGCGGCCCCATCTTAATCCATGACCTCGACTACACGTCTCTGGACGTTCAAGGAGATCATCTCCGCGCCGGAAAAGTACTAGAGCACACCCGGACAGTGAACTCCGCCCTCTACCCCGTGTGATGGTAGTGACACGACTTCTTGGCGATGTTGTTGATAGTGGAGAGGCTGTACAGTCCAACGGGTGCCAGATCGTACACGCTGACTACGCTTACCGCCCCTAGAAATGACGAATTTTCAGCTGCTAGAAGTAAGGCGGGCGAACGCGGCATGCACTAGCGTCTTGTGTAGTCAACCCATCGCAGTCGTCGCATTATCTCTTGGCACTGACCCGGAGTCAATCGTCAGATCTGGGGTCTCCTCGTCCTCCATATCCCGTTTGCGTACTCGCACCTCCCGGTGGTAAAATTCACACTAGATCGCGAGGCATTAGCTGGCTCGATAGGTCCTCACTTCGCATGCCCCGGTCAGGCAGTCTTGTGGCGCTCGCTTGGATCGAGAGATTTCAGGCTAGTATTATGCGGACTCAACCGGCAGTCCATTTTCGACGGTCTTCGTTATCACAACAACCTATTGGTAGATGATCAAGGCGCCAACACGGCCGAACACGATTGCTGGGGACCATGGAGGTCGGCGAGATACACATATCGTTGACTGAAAGGTTCGCTAGCGACTTTGGCAAGCGCCAGCGCCTAGTGCACTTCTTTCTCCCGCCTTGTCCACGTATGAGAAGCTCAGACGACTCACCGGAGTTCCTCAATGATCTCCGAGGCCCCCTATGAAGGCTTGAGAAATTATGTATAATTTCTTATTTCCATTTCCATGATTGGTCATAGCTGCGTTACCAAGGGGGATATTTCAACAAAGAAAATGTCCGAACGCAGCGGCAGGATCACAGCGTGATAATCGAACAAAGGAGGAGCAACATGATCTTCGACAATCTTAACATTTAGGTGTCGAAAAGTCCTTTCTGAAAGCCTAATAAGGTATTTCTTCGCGAAAGCACAGAATTTAGGAACGCGAACACTAAGGCTTCACCATTTTCGCCCCGTCAGCGGCGTGCTATTGACGGCATACAAGCCGGTTTCTTGCTGCCACAAGGCTCGAAGTCTTCCGAATAGGCCGCAGTTCGTTGGCGAGTGGAACTTGTTGGTGGCATACCAAGTCTTCGCGGGTGTGCTGAGGCTGCAGCAGATCTAGCGAAATCACACCCATCTCATGTCTTACTCGCTAGCGGTAGGCTATTTTCACATCGCTAAAGGCAAAAGTAGTGCTCACTGGCCGGTGAAGACCTGTTCAGCCCGTAAATCACAAGGTTGTTCAGCTAGGCCATGGTAGACCAAGTCTTCGTATGGATGTGTTGAGCACTCCGGGCTACGGGTGAGTCAAGAGTGGCGGAGTCTGGACTACACATCGCGAATGGGTGTAGGTGCGATGAGCGCATCTGCTATGGGGTGACGGAACGGGTGTAAGGGGGTAGAGAGTGATAAGCTTACGCCCTCCGTGTTGCAGTTAGTTTTGATCCAAGGGGAAGATGTCTTCAGTAAACGGTATGTCACGCAGTAGCAAGAACAATGCTATATACATCATTGGCCTGGGCCATGAGTACCCGCCCCATTCGGTAAGACAGGAGCAGTTTGAGGACTTCTTGCAGCGCTTGTGCCCCGATGAAGTAACTTCACCAGCGTCAGTCACCCAGTGTCTTCCATAGGAACTATTCGTCCAATGCTAATAGCCTCGCCAGTATCCAGAAGCTCATCCAGTTCAACAAGAAAACCAAGATCGTCTCCCGCCCAACTATCCTCGACTACGCAGGATGGACCAAAGAGAACACTGCACCGCCGGATGCCGACTCCATCTCCCGAATGTTCCGGACAGAAGGTGTGCAGCTCACCACCTTGGCCTGCAAAGAGGCTATGCGAGAAGCTTGCCTTGAGCCCAGCGACATAACGCACACGGTAGCAGTGACTTGCACTGATCAGAGCAACCCCGGTTATGATCTCTTTGTATGCCAGGAGCTTGGGCTTGGTCCAAACGTGCAACGAGTGCTACTTCATGGCGTGGGATGCGCAGGCGGTCTATCAGCGCTGCGTGCAGCTGCTAGCATCGCCGCTGCCGCATCACAAAGAGGAAGGCACGCCCGCATCCTGGTGATGGCCTGTGAGGTATGCAGTCTCTCTATTCAGGCAGAGGTCCAAGCGGCCTGTGAAGACGGCAAGCTACACGTAGCTCCAGCGCTATTCTCCGATGGCGCAGCGGCGCTAGCAGTATGCAACGGTCTTGCCCTGGAAGACAAGCAAAAGCCAGTGTTTGAGCTGAAAGATTGGGACAGTGTAGTTGTGCCGGGTACTTCGAGCTACATCTCGTACGATATCGAGAAGCATGGTATGTTTCTGTAACGCCCAGTGTTGCATTTCTGTTGCTTTGAGTTGATGTTAATATATTAGCAGGCATGATAGCTACTATCAGCAAACACGTTCCAGGCACAGCCATCGACGCCATCTTGCCCTTGTTCGATCGACTGCGTGCCACCCTCAATGCTACTCACGCCGCTGCATCGGTGACTCGCAGTCCCGCTTCGAACTTCGATTGGGCTATTCACCCTGGCGGTGCGACCATCCTAGAGGGGGCCAAGCAAGCTCTGCAACTCAACGACGACCACATTCGAGCCTCACTCGACGTGTACCATAACTATGGAAACTCATCCAGCCCAACCGTGCTCATCGTGTTGGACAAACTTCGCCGGATGGGAGAAGGCAGAGAGAACATTGTTGCGACCAGCTTTGGACCGGGGGTTTTAGTTGAGATGTGCTTGATGAGACGATGCCGCCAAGACAATACAGCACCATCATCTCCACCTAGCGCACATACGAAGATGTATACTCTATGGCTTTCTCTACACTCACGGTTGTCAAAGAGGTGGACCCAGGTACAGCCAAGGGCCATGAAAGGTATCAAGAGAAGGACGAGCGGGTATGCCTCAATTGTACATTAGTAAATACCTCTGAAATGAAAGCATGCGTACATAGAGAATGGTCTCGTGAAGGCTGCATCGCGGTGGGTGCTGTTCGAGTGCACAGGTAGCGATTGGCTCTCCGCGAAGTGGGTCCGATGACGTCAACGCGTCTGGATCTCGAAGGGACGCGACTTGCTGTGACCGCATTCCTCCTCAAATTTGAGACACAACGTAACGCGCATGGCCCGCACACGCTCGAACCAGCGGTACAGCGAGCAAGCTGAAGCAGTTCTACCAGTTCTGAGTGATGACGATGTCAGAGAACCCGATGATCAGCTGGCGACACCATCGTCTGCATCCTTCCAAGACCGACTGAAGAAGTTCCAATACACCGAAACGCAGACGGAGCAACGTACCGGACCACCATCCGGATCGCCGACAGAACCTCGAAAGCGCACTAGGACTTTCGTGACGGCGGTCGCAGAGATCGCACCGGAACCTTCCCCACGACCGAAAAAGAAGAGGAAACCCAGCAAATATGCTGACCCGTCCAAATACGCGCATCTATCGCCGCTGGTCGACATACTAGAGCCCAATCTAATCTGTGTCTTCGTTGGCACGAATCCAGGTGTTCAGACGGCCGCTGCAGGGCATGCGTATGCCCATCCCTCGAACCTTTTCTGGAAGCTGCTCCACTCCTCAGGACTTACCGACTGTCGACTGAAGCCTGAGGAGGATCGGAGTCTTCCTGCTCTTTATTGCATGGGTAATACCAACATTGTCGAGAGACCCTCCAAAGACGCTGCCGAGCTCTCGAAAGAGGAGACTGCGGCCGGTACAGCACAGCTGGATGCCAAGTTCCTCAAATACAAGCCAGAGGCTGTGTGCATAGTAGGCAAAGGTATCTGGGAAGCCATTTGGCGGTATCGCTATGGCAAGAACATGGGTAAGAAAGATTTCAAGTATGGGTGGCAGGATGAGGAGCACAACATGGGCAAGAGCGAGGATGGCCAGGAAGAGCAGGATGCCGATGGCAATGTATGGAATGGGTCCAGGGTCTTTGTTACTACGAGTACGAGCGGTCTAGCGGCAAGTCTGAAGCCGGCCGAGAAAGAGGCTATCTGGAAACCCTTCGGCGAATGGGTGCAGAAGCGAAGAGCCGAACGGGGCTTTGTGCCTCGGCCAGCGGACGCATAGGAATCCGGTGACGACGTACCGTAACCCCAAGGGTTGTCAATCACGGCAGTCGTCGCTACTTTCGCGAAAGAGTCGATAGCGCAACGTATCTACTGTGCAAACGAGCGGCAGATCATCCATGCATGTGCGCCCCTTTCGACTTCCACACTTCGACTTTTACGAGCTGCTTCTCTGCTTTGTCTACCAAGCCACGCGTCGTCTAACAGTACGAAACGACGAGCTGTCATACGGATCGACCCGTTTGTTTGGTACTGACAATCCTGGGATCCCATTGCTTGTATCGAGATTGCGCCTCACCTGCGCCACAAGAAGTCGCCATGTTGGTTAGTCGACTGCCCTCAAAGTCCTTTTACCGCCAAGCCGGCTCCCAACCAGAGTGACAAACATCGCTTTTCGGACCGCACTCTCCACTTGGTCGCCGACGGCGTACATGCTGACTTGGCGCCGGACGCATCCGCGCCGCCCAAGGTCTTCGGCATCAATACTACAGTAGCTTTCGGATCTCTTGGCGGTGCTACCGTCTTCGTGTTAGGCTTTACGCTTTACAAGTAGATTCGTAGCAGGAATGCGGTAGGCATAATATCGACAGAGCACTAGCTTCGTCGCTGCTGTCTTGCCAAGGGGACGAACGACTGAGCCACTTGACTGGCCCGTCTAACATTGCCTGTTGAAAAGTGGCGCCACAGCTAAGCTACATTAGTCACTAGCGTCCGGAACGAACGGCAAGCTCGCATATGCATCCCAACAGCACCTCACATGTGCCATTCACCAAAAGGTCATTTCAGCTCGCGCTTCTCCCGGATTAGTGGTAAGAAGTATCGAAAACCTATACGTGGGTTGTTAATTTACTGTATCTCGCATACTGGACAGACATGATGGCAACACCGCACCACGTAGCAAAGCAACATAATCGTATCTTTCGCACGCAGAACGAAACGCTCTCAAGTCATGCGCCTTACATACCAAGACTTTGCATACGCGTATGACAAGGGTCGTGCGTCCATCGTCACAGCAGTGGCTTGCCTGGTCCCACTCCTGCCTCAGCAAGCCCGAGCAAATGCCACAGCTACGCGCCCTGACTGCCACACGTGTGGCGCCGAGCAAAGCTCACCCGCAGCCGTCCAAAAGTACGGAACGTATACCGGCATGGACGCGGTGAATTACGATGAGCACGTTGGGTCGTGCATAGCCTCTCGCACCCTTTACCTCGCAGATCCGGTGTTGCCGTTTACCGAAAGCAATAGCCAGGCGCGTCAAGACTTGCAATCTTAAAAGACACGGGTTGGTCCCCCTAAAAGTTCCACTTTGCTGTGCCACACATATCGTCTGCCACACTCCTCTGCCACAGTACACCCTCAACACCAGCCTCTCTTCACTTGCCACACCACGAGCTAGACGCTTCACCAGCCACGAGCCCGCATCTCTATTCCAACGTCAAGTCTACACCACCAAATTATTGAATATGAGCTACCCTGCTCCCCAACAACCTGGCTACTATGGCCCTCCGCAGCCGGGCTATGGGCCACCGCCTCAGCAACCGGTAAGTCTAATCTATTATCATAGCGTGCAATTGCAAGTTTGCAGTGATTTGGGGTGTGGCTGACACTATTTGTGAATTAGATGTACTACCAACAAGGACCACCGCCACCTCAAGAGGAACCCAAGAAGGAGAGGGGATGCTTGACTGCTTGGTAAGTCTTTTCTTCCCTTTCGCAACACTGGCTAGGTGTTGCATAGTTAAAGAAGAGGAACGGAGCTAATGCGACGACTAGTCTTGCGACCTTGTGCTGCTGCTGGCTCTGCGGTGAGACATGCGAATGCTGCCTCGATTGCCTGGACTGCTGCGACTGCTGTTAGGCACGCTCGCTACAGCATGCGACACGGTGACTACGATGGTTTATATGGGGAAGGGATGAATACACGCTCACTACGTTCTCTCGTTGCAAGGACGCGGATACCCATGGGTTTTCGATGGGGGCACAACACTGGAGAGGTACGGGATAATGGCCCTGGTTCGTCACTGCAGTGACGATGGAGTTAAGTGATATTGCCTTAGTTTGTACAAATCTGAAACCGTTTTCCTTTGAATCCGAGTGAGAGAATCACAAGTTGGCTGATCCTTCCTCTTTGCACTATGCTAACAATACTCGTGGCTCATAAGTCTTAGAAAATACCTGACGTTACACTCGTAATCCTCCCTTTTCCTACGCACCGATCGATCGTACGACAAACGAAAGTTCTGCGCTTAGTCGTCGTAGTTCTCTTCGAGCTCCTCCTGATACTCCTCCTGCGCCTCGATGAGCTCCTCGCGCTTCTCCTCCATGGACTCACGGTCACTACTTGAGATGGAGTCACCGTCGGCGTCATGGGTGGGAACGGGAGGGGGCTCCTCAAAGGCCGGGTGGTTATCATAGTCATTAGGGTCTGCTGGGGGAGGAGCGCCATAGGCGGGATCAGCCCCGTAACCAGGGTCTGCACCGTAGCCGCCTGCAGCAGCTGCGGGAGCCGCCGCTGGAGGCGCATATGACTGCTGCTTCTCGTCGTCGCTGCTGTCGTCGGCTAGTATGTGTTAGTCGCGCTGCTGCATGTTATGTACACGAAAGCAACATACCGAGTTGATGGCCAATGAAGGCACCGGCTGCGATACCTCCGACACCAGCGGCGGCGAGCATGGCACCGGAATGGCCCTTCTTCTTCTCGGCCTCGTTCGTGGCAGCTCCAGACTGCGTGTAGTCGTGTCCCTGGTGGCCGTGGGTGTTGCCGAACAGGCCGCGCTCATCATGACCGGCTGGCGGCATGTAGGGTGCGCCTGCTGCGGGTGGTGCATACGGGCCAGGTGGCATATGCGAAGGAGGGTCCCATTGGGTGCGACCAGTTGCTTGCTCAACGTAGAACCATCGTTGGCTATTCTGGTCCCATTGCTGAGTCCAGCCCGGTGGCATCGGCGGAGGCGCTCCATACGGCGCTGGTGGACCTGTGGGTGTGGGGGCGCCGCCATAAGGCTGCTGTTGTGGATAGCCCTGAGGTGGGTAACCTTGACCTTGAGGCGGATATCCTTGGGGTGGATATCCTTGACCCTGAGGAGGGCCCTGAGGCGGGTAACCTTGGTCTTGGGGAGGGCCGCCGTGTCCACCTCCATAGTAGCTATCAGAAAGTGCGCGATCACCAGGGCCAGCACCGCCGGGAGCAGCCTGCGAGTCTATCCAAATAAGAACTTGGTCTCTTTGTTCATTATAGAGTTACTCACCGGCTGGCTTCTTGTCGTCGTCATCCATGAGCTCCTTCATCTTCTTCTTGAGGAAATCCATGGTGGTTTGTTACCTGGCAATTGTGTATTTGTCTGGTGAGTATCTCAGAGAAAACAGTATGTGGGGTAGCAGGAAACACAGAGGGAAGCAAGTATGGAGCTGATAGTATGCGCGGGGCGCGACAGGACTTTAAGGCAAATGGATCTGTGCACAGTCCGTTGCCAGCGGGGCATCTCACAGCAGCCCGGGGCGCACTGCCCCAGTTGTCATTGAGCAAATCAATCATGCTGTACATGCTTGGCCAGATGGAGATGGCATGAGGGGAAGCAGCACGGCTTCGAATGGAGGGGCACGTCGAAGCTGACCACTCTACTGACAGGCGGGCAGGAAAAGTGGGGTGATGAACCGGCCTGATACGTCTGGCGGCTAGCCGGAGCTCCATGGTTTGCAAGAGTTCTATTAGTGAAGCTTGGCGTGGATATATGAGGGCCGCTTCGCTGCGCGTTCAGTGTTGGGTCGTGGAGATGTGCTCATTGACCTCGTGCGACGACCAGTCGAGGACAATTTTGATTGATCTCGGTGTTCCAATTCTTTCTTTTTTGTTCTGATCGCAGTGTTCAATTTCGATAGTGTAAAATTTCTGCTCCAGTACGGAATCAAGGGATCGTTATTGATGGGCGTGGATGGCACAGCGTGGTGTGGCTGGGATTGGCGACGCATGCGCCATTAATGCCCTGCCACGGTGGCTAAATTTCGAGGCAGTTACAGCCGAGACGACTTGTGCCCCCATCGTGCCACGATATCTGCAAACACGAAGTGTCGCATGCTGCATGATGTCACTCGGAGATGCGATGACCTCAACCATGTTGCACCGCCGCGCATGTTTTCAAATTGCCGTCGCAAACGCGGGTTGTGGCAGGCGATAAGTGCGAGGCTTCTCTATGCCAACGGAATGCTTTGAATGAGTACGAGACAAGTCCGATGACGAAAAAGATGGACTGCATGCGCAGTTACTTCAAACCTTGATGATACCGTTTGCGCAGCTGAAATGGCAGGTACATTGATGGGTCGTATGGGTGCGGCCACGGTGCCTGGAGAGAATGACAGACGGACACGTGACTATGACTCGAAAACATCAGGTCGGCCCGGGCCCGGTCGCGGAACGGTGCGCGCACGTGGGAATGGCACGACAAGCTCACCCCCGGGGCCATGATTGGGAGGTGCCGAGAATCAACCGAGAAGTTGTGCAGTGCGATCATCTCGTCTCTCGCGGCTGACGATGAGATTGGTAGCAGGTGGTGAAGAGTAGGGAAGGCTTGGCGGTATTCGCGTAATGTGAACTGGATGGAGGTACCATCGTAGGAAAGGGGCGACCAACACAGATCAGCACATGGCGGAAAGAAGTACATGATAGTGTGTGCCTGGAAGTGAGCGATAAGCTAGAAGAAACCAAGTCCACGTTTCCAAAATCTTGGGCTTCTCGAAGTTTACCTAGGTAGGTTCAAGGCTGCGACGATGCAGATGGTCATGTGTTGAATGGATGCGGGTCTGAGGCTCGAGTCTAGACCCGTCAGATGCATGACGTGGGGACCAGCACAGTCGCGAAAGCAGCGGTGCACTGACGGGCCACAGCATTCCAGCTGCTGCAGATGGCACAGATGGGCATGTCAGAATGCCATGCACGGCGTCATAGCTGTCCAGGGCGTGTCGAATGTGAAGCTAGACACGAGAGGATGGTGAGAGCGATCTCGA